TGTGTGTGTGTGTGTGTGTGTGTGTGTGTGTGTGTGTGTGTGTGTGTGTGTGTGTTTTAGACTGTCACTAGAACAGCCCCTTTTCCGCCCACTGGCAGATGAGTTGAACTTCATCCCCAAAATTGAAGCAGCCTTGCCTAACAATCGTCTATCGAATTATGTATGATATTTTGAGACAGATTATGAGACAATTGCTATGATTTGATGAAACAACTGATTCATTGTTGAATAATTTTGAGAGGCGCAAGGTTCACCGCATCGGTGTACGGGAGTGTGGAATGGGTAGACACCCGTTGTTTCTCAGCACGCCTGCACCTTACATTTTGTGCCTTCGCTTGATGATCGTCATTCATATCACGCATTTAGGAGTTCTGCACGGGGGAAGGATGGAGGCCCGGAGGGGAGGGGAGGGGAGGGAGAGGAGTGGGTGGCGGGTGGGAAGGATGAGGAGGGTGGAGGGTGGATAAGACAAGGGGAAAGAGGAGGATTCCTTGCTCATAGGCTCCTCACTACTCACCAGCAGAGCAGATTGCCAGAGACTGGAACAAGAGACCCCTCAGTGGTTGTGTTGCAGAGAAAAAGGAGTTAAGGAGCAGGCATTGGCTATGTAGTAAATTGTGTCCTTCGGGGCGGCCGCTAAAATTGGAACGATACAGACTCTATTACAGAGTCTGAAGATTAGCATGGGCCCTGCGCAAGGATGATACGCATAAATCGAGGAATGGTAGAGGGGGAAAAAAAAAAGAAAAGTAATCCAGAAGGATAGGTCTGATAGCTGTTGTAAGGTAGACCAGTATCTTTTTTTTTTTCTTTGTTTTTTTTTTTTTATTGTTGCGCAGGGACCATGCTAATCTTCTCTGTATCGTTCCAATTTTAACGGATGTCCCGAAAGACTAGGTAGACCAGTATCCTCTCATCGAGAACCTCATTTTTCTTCTGTCCAACAAAATCTTGGTCTAAGAAAAAACAGAAAAGCAAGGAAAAACCAGCCAATCAGAAAAAAACTCTTCCCACTAATGAGCACCAGAAAAAAAAAATTCTCCTCCCACTAATGAGCAGACTCCTTACCTTCTCTTAACCTTCACAAGCAGCACTTAAACCACCAGTACGTTTCCTAACTATTTTTCAGAGTCGCAGCGTGCATGCAGCCGCGACTCTCGGGAAGTACCCAGGTGCCGCGTTTTGTGGCACGTCCATCCATGCAGAACGGGCCGCATGCGAAGCCTGTTTTGCCTGGATGGATATCCAGCGAAACGGCACCCCCGAACGTTGCTCCTGCATGCAAGCCGCATATATATATATATATGACGATATATATCACAGCCCCTCGTTTGTTGTCCTCTTCTCTCTCTCTGCCTACGGTTTACCGGGCAGTTCTGTTTGTGACGATATAGCCTCCTGATGAGTCGGTGAAACTCCGACGAAACAGTTTGTCACAGCCCCTCGTTT